GAGAGAGAGCTTGCGGTCTTGTCTCAACATTCGAGGTTGGATGTGTTTCCTCAGTCATCGTTCGAGGAAAGCAGAGGCCCTCGCGGAAAGATCAAAGAAAATGAAAAGCACAGCCGCCAGGGAAATGGAGGATTTGTTTCTGCTCTGTCCTTTACCGCATCGATGGATTCCATTTCAGTGGATAGAGCTCAACTTGTTGCCATCGTCATTTCAATCACAATTCACTTGGTAGGTAGACGCTTGTTCCGAGGTGTTCTTTTGCACACGCAAAAATATGTTGTATTGCAATATCCTTTCAATTTAAATTGGACAATAGCACGTTGCGAAGATAATGCCTCTTCCCTAAATAATAACTCTAAGATTCTGCACATCATGCTTTTCTCCGTTCTGGACGGACCACAACCTAAGGATTCTCTTCTTTTTTCAAGCTTGGATCTCAAAGTTTTAAACTATTTTGACATAACCATATTCAGTGTGGTTCCACTGTTGGAGTTTACCTCACACATCTGCAAGTGATCCATGAACTTATGCCAAACCATTGTCCTAGGTACCCATGCATTTGCCACCATACTAATATAGCCATCATGTCTAGTACATGCATTTTCAAACCAAAAAGGTCTATCTATTTTGTTCCCTATATACCACTTTTTAGTTCTAAACCGATATATAAGCCGTACACAATGGTCTGATTCTATCATCTGGATGTGTGTGATTGGCATATTATCAAAGCCCTACTGGAACCTATCATCCCCTCCTTGTCAAGCCAAAACCATTATGTTGTTTGAACCTTGTTGTCGGTCCCAGGTATAAGGTAGACCAATTTAACCTGAGTCATAAAACATGCATTCATCTACAACGTCTCTAAGCATCCATTTGCCATTCTCACGACCATGACCAACAAATTGTTCATGAGCCTTAAGAATCTCATTTAAGTCCCCTGCATAGAGCCAAGGATAACCATACTCTCTCCTCAGATACTTCAACAATTCGCAATTATTTTTCCTTTTATGTTTAGTCGTCTCTTCATAGAAACTGGTGAACCTCCACTCCTTCTCCTCTACCTTTTCATTCTGGATCACTACATCAATGTGAGAGTTGCTAAACAAGTTTAGGCCAACCACCCGGTTGTTGTTCCATAAGAGAACCATATCGCCACAATGTCCAACACTCTTAACAGAAAAATCGTTAGAAAAACCAAACCTCAACTGCAAAATCTTGAGCTCTCGTGGTAGACAACTTCGTGTTCGAGAGAAAAACTAAGCCGAAGTGATACAAGTTAACGAGGTTGTTTATTCATTAACTATCTCCGGCTGCTCGCAACCCTGACAATTTCAGCATAAGGTATTCATTGCTTCCGGCGGTATTCCGCGCTGGAACTCGCCATTTTTAAGTTTCCCAACTCCTTTACTTCACCATTAGTAGTATGTTTTGGGTCTCTCTTTGCTGTAGTACTAGAATTGTTGCTCATCAATCCCACTACCAAAGATCTCACTAGATAAATTAGGGAGCCACCTTTAGGAGCATTAGAGCCAGGGGAGTTAGAGCCAACAACTCCCTTCAACATCAAGCATAACTTGGTTACCTTTTTTTTGGCTCCTTTGGGTTGTATAATGATCTGGCTCAGTCACGGCCTTTCATTGCCTAATATGATCTAGCCTTCTCTCTAATTCCTCCTACGATTCATCATCCTAGCCCCAGAACTCCTCGCCATCTCCAACATAATCATTATCCATGTGATCATGATTACCGCTACCTCGACCAGATCTTCCTCTGCCTCATCCACAAACCCTTCCTCGAGGTGGCCGCATACTCCCTAAAGTTTTGAGTTCCTTGAAAACTAGCGCATTTGGAGTGTGGATCCACTTGTCATGCTCTTTTGTAAACATGACCTAACATACCGCAAGCTGCACACCATTCCGGCAACTGTTAATACTTCAACAAAAAAGATGGTGTTTGTTGTCTTTCACAATGGATAGTGTGTTTTTTAAGCGGTTTCCCCGCATCCAATTTAACCCGGGCCTGAAAGAATTTCTGAGAGAAATCTTGTGATGCTGGTACAACATATATGAATTCTCCCACTTTACTTGCAAGCATTTTTTAGCAGCCCCATGAAACCATCTAGGAGATCAGGGATCTGAATCCAGATGTCTATATGAATAGTTGAGTTGAGCTCAGCTTCGTGTACTCATCGCAGGGTGCAAGAATGACACAAAAAACTATACGTCCACGGGTCTTGTCCATAACCTCCTCTCAGTCACCGAGACATGAGGATGGCATCATGTGTGGATTTTCATCCAAAGATCTGATTTAACCTCTTGAGCAAGATCCCGAGCAGATTGCATATTCTATAGAGCCAGAATTCACTATACTCCATGCATGTCTGTGTTGGCCCGAGCGATGGCCATCAAACGAGTAGCCTTAGTCAGGTTTTGATCCTCCTTTTCCACGACATCATCTAGAGATCGCCCTCCGTCAAACCCAACTCCATCATTGCCTCTAGATCGAATTGTTCCTTCACCACAGAAGTCGAAGATTCTGCCGCCATGCCTCTCCCGCCCAAGAAGAGATAACTGTCCATGGGCTTTGAAGAAACACTAACTCTCATATCTCTGAGGAAAACCACCAAGGCCGGGAAGCGCTGCAAAGAGCGCCCCTGGGTCGGCCCGGTCGAGATCCAAGCGGCTAGAGGGAGGAAGGGATTGGAGGTCTCAATGCCAGCGAGAGAAAGAGGAAACCCTAACAAGAGGGAATCGGGCAGCACATGTTGCAGACAGTCGCCAACACCCTTGCACCCTATCGCTTGAGCCATGTCGTGCTGCGGATTCTTTTTAACATGTTTATTATATCATTGGGCTACACTATTAATTAATCCAATCCAATACAATTATTGGGCTACACTATCAGCATTTCCTGTTTTGGAAAAATCTAAAAAAAAGTTCTAAAAAACACGTCGGCCGGCGGATCTTTTTAAAAAATAGATCTGACGATATCCAATGACCCAACGTCGTCCTCACTATTGCAACAAAAAGCAGTGTTGAAGAACTTTTACAACAGAGCTTATGTTGCAGGAAAATATTTACAACAGAGGTTGTGTCGCGGATTTTTTTTCCCAGCTTTGTGACATAGATGATGTCGCGGAAAAGGCTTTTGCAACATGGATGATGTTGCAGACTTTTTTTTACAATAACAGATGTTGCAGCAGCAGTACTAGTGCCATTGTCGTCTTCGTTTTGCAACTCCGCCGTTGTTGCCGAAATTTGTCAGCATGTGGCCGCACGACATGTCGGTTATGCGCGGCTTCCGCGGCGCGAGGCCGAGCCGACGATGTTGCGACGCTGGTCCTGCAACCGCTTCGTTGCCGGCGATGGAAACCTCCGCCGGGCTTGCACCGCGGCGGAGACGACAAGGAGGATGCGTCTCGTCCGCCAGGGAAGGTTGCGTCGTTCTCTCAGTCCCTATTTGGGTTCATTGGACGAGGCTCTTCCCTGCTAGTACCTCGGCGGCATCGATGTCCACCGCTCGGGCCCGGACACCCTGGTTGCTCCACCATGATCTGGAAGGCCAACGCCGACATAGTTACCTTCTAGTCGATCTACAACATACCATTTGTTGCGGTTTGCTTTCTGAAACAGGTGACCAGTTGCAGGAATGGAAATAGCTTACACAGACACATTAGAGGGCAACGTTTCATGAAGATAAGGATGAAGGAGAGATGCGGTGCGCGGGTCTAATCAAATGCGTGGGAAGAGTAGGGCGCGGCGGACGTAAAAAAAAGATCGGTCGGTTGAACACGAGTTTTTTCAAAGGAAAAAAATACACCATTTTCTTTAGCGACCGCACGGCGGCACGGGCATTTTGGTGCGTTTGGTTGCAAGAGCGGTCATGAATGGGTTGAGATCGTTCAGAAAATAGACATGTTTGGTTATAAAGCACATGAATGGTTCGAGCCAAAAAAAGAGAATATGCCATGAAGATGCTGAACCGTTCCACCCAACCAAATCGGTCGAATCAAATGGCATGCATGCATGACTATGTGAGCATGACTGGTGGTCCCGTCCTAAATAATTAGCTCACCACTTATATTCAGCCAAACAAATGAATTGAATGGTTCAATCCTAAAAAAATTGAACGGTCCCAACCCATTCATATGACACCTTCAAACAAACGCTTAACCGATTCACAACAAACCGTCGCCCGGTTCCACTCCTCCCCTCCCAGAGTCGAAACCCCCAAAACAAAACCCTAAACCCATGGCGGCGCTCACCCCCTCCGCCGGCGCCCGCCTCCTTCGCCGCCTCCTCTCCACCGCCGCCGAGGTGGCGCGGGAGGCGGCGCCCCCCGCCGCGAAGAACCCGAAGAAACCGGCGGCACGCCCCGTCAGGAAGCGGGCGGCGCGCGCCGTCGCCCCCCAGGACGCGGAGAAGGCGGCGCATCCCGCGGCAGAGGCGGCGCCGGACGCGGAGGGCGCGAAGAAGGCGGCGGCGGCGGCGGGGCCCAAGGACTCGCGCCCGCTGTACCGGCGGCTGTCGGCGCTGGGGAACGCCCGGGAGGGGAGCGTCTCCGCGGTGCTCAACAAGTGGCTGCGGGAGGGCCGGGAGACGCGCTCCGTGGATCTCGAGCGGTACGTCAAGGAGCTCCGCAGGTACAAGCGCCATTCCCACGCCCTCGAGGTACGAATGATTTTATCCCCCCACCTTTGACATCCCAGCACTATAATGGTGCTCTGCTTAGGACGGGATTGGTACCAGAAAGATGGTTTTTTGCAGCGTTATTCTGCAATGTGCTCAATTCATTTAGAACGGAGTGAGTAGATGAAGTGATTCGGCTTTGCCTCCTCCAGCTAATTTATTATGATTAGATTGTGCGAATGGAATAGAAGTAATCCTTGTGAAATCTTAGCTTCACCCAGTCCGTTCAGCGCCTTTGGATGGAGGGATTTTCCAGATTCATGATGGAACTAAACTATTTCCTCTGAAATTGACTTTCAAAAGCAGAGCTCTGTATTACGGGTATGTTTGGTTGATGCCCCAAGGCAGATTTTCGGCCAAGGAATCCTGTGCCCTCACCTGGTCAATTATTTTTAGGAAACTGTGAGGGGAATGGGTGGGCACTCATAGACATCCAAAACTTTTGCAACAAGCCAAGCAAGAATTGAAATGTGAATGGGCTGCCAGAAGTTTGGCAACGCTACTGTGGGCACCAACCAAACACAGCCTACATATGTGCAACCCAGAAATATTTCGCAGGCTATATCAGCTAATGCTTTGGGAACATTGATAACCTCTTTTTCTTAGTGATAACAGAAACATTTTGATAGAACTTTTAAAGATCCTTTGAACTAGATTCCATGAGCATTTCTGTAGGACATCACACCACAGAAGCGCCAAACCAGTCTGCTGAGTGCTGTTCCTTAAAATGCTTGTTCTGTTTCAGAGTTTTCTCATCTGCGTATAAAATAATATGTTATCAAGAAGAGTAGGGAGGAGATTTGATATGTTCAATGTTCCATATTTCAATATCTGTAATAGTATGTTATCACAACTATGTGCATAGCACAGTTGTCTTCAAGGCCACAAAAAATTTACTTGTAGTATGGCTGGAGTTCTCAACTCATCTTTGTTTCATACCTTCTGTTTGTACTTCTTCTATTGGTGTTTAATTATGTCTGTTGTACTTATGCAAGGATTTGTCTTTTCTTATGGCAGTTGATGGATTGGATGGTTCATACAAAGGGTATGAACATGTCTTACACTAACCATGCAATACGTTTGGATCTCATCTACAAAGTGCGTGGGATCGAGGCAGCTGAAAAATATTTCGATGGCCTTCCTGAGCCAGCCAAGAACCATCGAACCTATGGTGCACTTCTGAACTGTTATTGCTCATCGAAGAAGGAAGAGAAAGCAACGGACCTTTACCGCAAGATGGATGAGCTCGGAATCTCATCCAGCACTCTGCCCATCAACAATCTCATGTCCCTATACATGAAGTTAGGCCAGCATAAGAAGGTGTGTAGCCTGTTTGAGGAGATGAAGGAGAAGAATGTTAAGCCGGATAACCTGACGTGCTGCATTCTGATGACCAGCTGTGCGGCATTGAACAAGATAGACGACGTTGAACAAGTTCTAAAAGAAATGGAAGAAAAGGGTGGGGTTCTAGGGTGGTCTGCATACAGCACGCTGGCTTCCATCTACCAGAGTGCTGGTTTGGTTGAAAAAGCAGAGTCTGCTCTGAAGAAACTTGAGGGCCTTGTTCAAGATCGTGATGGCAGACAGCCTTTTGATTTCCTCATGAGTCTGTATGCTTCCGTAGGCAATCTGAGCGAGGTGAAGAGGGTGTGGGGCGTGGTTAAGGACACTTTCCCAAAAGTGACCAACACGAGCTACTTCAGCATGCTGCAGGCTCTTCTTAAGCTCAATGATGCCGATTACATGAAGCAGGTCTTTGAGGAATGGGAGTCTAACCATGAGTGCTACGACGTGAAGCTGACTAACGTGATGACTCGGGCCCACCTGAGGAATGGCATGGCCAAGGAAGCGGAGCAGCTGTGGGAGAAGGCCAAGGAAATGGGTGCATGTTTTGACTCTAAAACATGCGAGCTGTTTCTCGATCACTACATGGGGACAGGGGACATGAAATCGGCGCTGAACTGGGTGGAGAATGTGACGAAGCTCCCCAAGAAAGCAGGGAAGCTGGATCCTGACAAGGTCCCGAAGTTCTCCAAGTACTTTGAAGAGCAGAAGGACGTGCAAGGCGCCGAGAGGTTCTGCAGCTGCCTGAGGGCGCTCGGGTGCATCGACGGCAAAGCCTACGAGTCCCTCCTGCGGACCTATCTGGCGGCTGGCGAGACGAGCCGCTCCCTCCGGCAGCAGATCAAAGACGACAAGGTCGAGATTTGCTACGACATCGGGAAGCTGCTGAAGAGGCTGGGCGACAAGGGGCAATGAAATGGTACTACCTGTTTCTGCCCCTAGTTTACGTCGGTGGTTTCTTCTGATTCCTTCCGTGAACGATAAGCACAAAGCAGATATTATATAGCCCTTGTTCTGGCTCATGGGCGTTTGGTGCTTCTGCAAGAAGCAGCAGAAAGCAAATAATTCTTGTATTAGCACAACTTGTAGTAGTCTGAGGGGATCTTTCTCCTACATTTTTTCCATTTTTCTTTTCTTTTTTTTGCCTTTCTTCTGTATGTACTGGCTGTTTCAGACTTTTGAGTACTGGAGCAAGGACGCTACTAGAGGATCGTTTCTTGTTCTGTTTGTGCGTGCCGTCGGTTTCCATGCTCGATCGTGCCAGACTTTGTGAGCAGCAGCAGATGAAAACTGTAAACAACAGCCATATAACAAGATTGTGCTACTAGCAATGTTCCTAGTAAAAACATGTCTAAAAACCGAGTGAATACACCCTCCTTTACTTGGACCTCCATCGGGTGCAGAGGTCTGAAACAATGAAATCTGAAAGAAACACATCAACTTCGGTTCTTCAGTTAACCCGATTCAGTTCATATGTTGTCATTATGCTCAAGTTCTTACAATTAACACAACAGTCGAGCTTTTGCAATGTATGAAGATGAAGTTCATGTTGCTGTCGTTGGTTACTTCCCAGCATCAGGTCCAGCCATCTCCTCTGCGTTGAGGTTGAGAGGTACACAATGTATGAACTGAAGAGATCGAACAATTCATCAGAAAGAAAGAAAGAAACAAGCACATCAATTATAGCCTGATAACTCAGACAAATGCGCCATATTGTGATCTTATACACACCATTATGTCGTGTTCGCAGCGTAGCGACCCACAGCCGCACAATGCAGCTAACGAAATCGACAATGCGGTTCTTGTTGGTTGTTGCCAAGTAACAATGGCGAAAACTTTGCAGTCCCAGCTGCCACTCTTGCCTCAATCGTAACCAGCTCACGGCACAAGTCAAACAAGCTTCACAAAAAGGACTAAGTCATTCCCTGTTTCCATCTACTCCCTCTGTTCCTAAATATTTGTCTTTCTAGAGATTTCAACAAATGACTACATACAGAGCAAAATGAGTGAATCTACAATCTAAAATATGTCTATATACATCCGTATGTGGTAGTTCATTTGAAATCTCTAAAAAGACAAATATTTAGAAACGGAGGGAGTAGTTCGTAACCAGCCTGCCACATCCTTAGACGCCTACTCTGGTCCCTCGGCTACCTGGCCCTGCACCGTCCGCAGGTCCAGCCCCAACCCCAGCCCCAACGCCTCCTTCTCCTCGCCCCACCACGACCTGCCTCGGCATTGTCATCGCTGTTGATGGCGAATATGGGGTTTGGAGCTCAGGCAACCGCTGCTCGGACGGGTCCTTGCATGCCTCCAGGGCCAGCTTCTCGAAGTCCAGGCACCCGCAGGGTGTCCCTGCATTGCACAAGGATACACCATTAAATGGACACAAGCTATTGCTGATTTTCAATCGATGTTGCACACTACTAAGGATGTGCACAATACTCTCTTTTATGGTGTGCAACTATTAGTCTGCAGCTAGGTTATATGTGAAGTGACCATCAGGTGGGAATGGTTGGTGACTATCACAACTTCATGATGCCAGTAAAATGCCATTCCTAGATTGCAAAATCATTTTTTTCACTTGTCTAATAATTACCTTCCAATGGCAAATACATAATACTAACAATTAGCTTGAATAGCTTTCCCCCAAGCACAGAAAAGGCAACATCCATTGAACCTTGTAACTATCACAATAATGAACCGGCAAGCATCAGACAAGTTGTGTGATCATGATAACTAGTAGTAATAACTATGAAGGGAAGGAGGTAACTAGGATGCAACAGAGAGTTTACCACTTGACACTGTCGGTGACGATAATAACGACGGTGGGATGTTGTAGTATACGTGTGACTGTAGCGGCAATGAATCACACACCCTCTCAACCTGGGATGTGTCGACGTCCCAAGTGAAACAACCTGCCATGACCGACGAGCTTCCAGAATGAAATAGGAGCAGGTGCCTCCCCACTGCACCCATGAGGGTGAACCCAAAATTCAGAGAGATTGTCTTCTTCTCCATCTGAAAGTCGGTGGAATTCCCGCCATCCTTTCACCAAACGGTATAAATACGAGATGTGTCAGGTTTAGGCACGAACATCACAGTGGTGCCTTGGCCTGCCTCGGCAATGGCCATACCAACACCGAAATCTATGACATAGGATGGTTGCTCGGCCATGGAGAACTCCATCCTCCGGATGTCAAGCACGGGCATTTTCTCATTCGATTGCGAAACCCAGTAGAAGCAGCCATGGTCGTAATAGCACGACAAGAACGCAGGTCACCGGCTTAGATTGGAACGGTTCGCCATTGCCCTGTGCCAGATGAGAAGACGAAGGTCACCGGCTTAGATTGGAGCAGCAGCTTACAGACCACTCTGAATGACGTCTCCTCCTTAGCAGCTGCTGCCTCCTCGTAGCCGCTGGAAGGGGCGAGGAAGGAGTCGAGAGATGAGATTCTGGACTATGGCTCACCCGAACCTACACTCGCCACCGTCCGATCTAATACAACTTTCATGTGGATTCGAGCCCTGTCAGTATTCAAATTTCTTTAATTTTGTATTGTTTGACTTAATCCATCTCTCCAGGGGCTACTCATAGGCCTGAGTAGGCTCCTTTTTTAATCTAGTGGGCTGGCACACGCTGACCAATGTATTGTAATACAGGAGCCCAACTGCCCAAGCCCTAGAACTTTTTCAAATATATTATTCTGTTCATGCATATATAGTAAAACGGAGATAAACATTTCTGGGAAGGAGTCGGCGAAGCACGGCCCTTCAATCAGGAGTGCGGCCACAAGCAAACGGACTAGGGGTTGTTTGGTTTGTGACTAACTTTGTCAAAGATTGCCACACCTAAGGTTAGGCAAATTTGTCCAACTTAGGCAAGTGTTTGGTTCCAGCCACACCTTTGGCAAGCCATACTTGGGTCCCATATGGCATACACACAAAAAGTGTGGCAAGATTCCTTTAGGCTTGCCAACTTGTGGTTTTCATTTTGATGAACTAACCTTAGGCAAGCTTGGCAAAAATGTGTGGCAAAGTGTGGCAATGCTAGGCCTAGAACCAAACAGCCCCTAGGTCATCAGGGATCAGAGGAAGCAAGAGATACTGCCAGTGCAAGGGGTCGCACACCACCATCTCCTTGACGATGGCTCTGAGCCTCTCGGCGGCGTCGTGACGGCCGGGTCTGTCGAGGAGGACGCGGCCATCGCGGACTTCCCGTATGGACCAGTCCGACGCAGGGGCGGGGAGAAAGGCGAAGGAGAAGTCGGCGGCGCTGGAGCCGGCGCGGGGGGTGAGGCGGGACGGCGAACTTGAAGCGGTGCCGGAGGAAGGAGCGGTCGGCGACGAGCCGACGGAAGGAGACGCAGACGGCGGAGGCGCGGATGAGATCGGCTGCGGTGGGGAGGCGGAGGAGAATCTCCACCAGGAGCTCATCGGGGATCGCCGGCAAGGCCATCTTCCGGCAACGGCGGCGGCGGATGTTATGTACCTCGAAACGACGGCCGAACGCACTGTACCGAGCACACGCGATTTTCTTTACATACGTTCGGATTTCTGCCAGTTTCTCATAAATAAATCTGTTGCAGTAAAAAAAAAGGTTTTTGAAAGCCATAAGTGAATTTTAAGAAAATGTTCACAAATTTTAAGCAATGCTCTTGAATATAAACAATTTTCTATAATTCTAAAAATGTCCATGTCAGGAAAATGTTCTCAAATTTAGACTGTTCATAGATTTTAAAATGGTTTATGTTTTAACAAATCTTAAATTTTTAAAAAGTTGTCGAATTAAAAAAATCATGCATTTTTAAAAGATAATTCAGATTTTTTTTCAAATTTAAAACATGTTCACGAACATTAAAAAATTATGTGTTTATTTAAAATAATGTGAACTATAGTTTTTAAAATAAAGGAAAAAAACAGAAAAGGAAACACAAAACAAGAAGGGAAACCAATAAAGGAACGGAAAAAACGACAAGGAAAATCAACGGAATAAAAGAAACAGAAAGAAATACACCCAATACAAATAACCAACAAACAATAGAAAAACTACCGAGCAAAAAAAGGCTAACCCACGCTCCATTTTATTCCTCAATAACATTTAGAGGAGTACAAATTGATATCTAAGGGTTGTAGAAGTCAAAGATGCGACATGCAAAAAGACGCATGCATGCTTATCGAGGCTATGAGCATCAGTATTCGAGGCCCTTCCTACGAAAAGAAAAGAGCAATCCTAAAACTCCGTCGACATGATCTTGATTTCCCGCATGATATGGCCATGCTTCCCACCATTTCCTTCCTCTATGTTTGCAATCACTTCTTTCTAGTCAGAGCCAACAGCCAATGACGATGCTAATGCCTTCAGGGTGGTCGAGCCAGTGACTCCTGCAAAAACAAGAGCTGAAGCTCCCAAGTACGATCCTCCACTGTTCCTGCAAATTGCACTAGTCGAGTCGGCATTTGAAGATTTTGAAACAGGACCATCCAACTTCAGTTTTGCAAATTGCACTAACCGAGTCATGAATTTAGAAAAAAAATGGTTTATAAAATGTCCAAAAATTTAGAAATGTCATTGAATTTTAAAAAAACATTTATGAATTTTAACAAGAGTTCATTAACATTTGGTTGGGGCCTACCACGTGTGGCTTCAAGTCCCCGGGGTCTTTCTCGTCTTCAATATGCCGAAACTCTTTCTTGTTGATTTTTTGGGACTTTTTCTAGGTATTTTTTCTGAAAGATACAAAAACAACATAAAACAAAACCTAACATTGCGCACTGGATTAATATGTTAGTCCAAAATAATTTATGTCCAAAGTTCATCACAAGTACAAAGCACCTCAAACACAATAAATACTACGTTGAAACTTCTAGCACACCAAACGACCACTACTGTTGATAGAACGAACAGCCGAAGC